TTTTTTGGGGGGGGGGTACTGCTTTTCGCCCAGTCGCTACAGCTGACAGTCATGATATGACATGAGGCGTAATCACAGGGGGTTTCTGAAGGTACATCTCACAACTGTGTCTTTTTTTTTTTTTTTCCCTGAAATCTTTGCATGTGCAAGTAAGGCTTTGGGGGAACCCCCCTCTGGGACTGTGACAATCTCCACAGTTAGCAGGAACTTTAATTAATTCGTGAATTAGGGTTTATTAATTGACTTTTCTTTATCTGAACAGCTCTTAACGCAAAGCTGAGTTCGCAAAGGAAAGCATCGAGAAAGAGTTTCCATGAGTTAACGTTGCCCCCCATTAAACATGTTACCTACATTGTGTTATGCAGTGTGTAGAGAATTTCTATCAAAGCGTGTGCCGTGCCATAACACTCCCCTGTTAATCATTTTCTACTGAGTTAGCTCATGCATCCTCTTGGGACCGCCCTGCCTGGGCGCTAATGAAAACAACACATTCTCTCTTAACACAAATACCAAAACCTGAATACTTTCCGGTCTGGCAAAGGCAGTTTGAATGATATTTTTTAAAGCATTAAGTTTTGCAGTAAAATTTCTGGCTTGGAAGATTGACCTTTCCTCAAAACGACTATAAAACTCTGTCTTCTGTTGCCTCTTTAAGGACTTGAGGGTATCTCGATGTATTTTCTTCCTTAGGGTGCAGTAACTGTACTGTCTCCCCCTATTTTTATACACTGGAATTAAAAACGGGCTAAAAACTAGATTACAACAAGTTTGTTTTCTCAGGCCAAGTCGTACACAACTCTAGAAATAGTTCTGTTGATTTTTGTGGGAGTCCTTGTGATGCTCAACAGCAGGCACCGTGAGAAAACGTGTCAGAATCTCATCCCAAAAAACTCAGGAAAAAAAATCCCTCATGCCTTCCCATCTGTGCAAATCAGAGCTGGGGATTTTTCCCTTACATCCTAGAAACAGATTGTGTAGGCCTACTTGCAGCTAAACATTACCATTTATAGTGAATATGGTGAGCTGCTCTGGTGTATTTTCTGATGCTGGTTACAGAAATACCAAGAGTTAAAATATTGCCCAATATTTTTTCTTTTTTTTTCCCTAGACAAAACATCAGCGCGCTGAGCTCAGTTATCTAGTTGACAGACCCCGACGAGTAAACAGGTATGAGCTCCCGTGCCTTGTTTTCCTAATGCATGCTTTAGCGAGTCTGAATGGGACGCAGAAATGCATGTACTGCGGATGTAGAATAGCAGTAAAGCCATGGGAATTCGAACGTATGTAGACGTATGAAATAAAACACGGGCGACCAAATGAGTTTGAATTACGGCTTTTCTGAACTGGCTCCAAAACCAACCGAAAAGAGAACAAAATCTCGTTTTGTACGAGCCCAAAACGTGCTTTAAATACTTATGAATGCTTCTGTAGGGTCTTCCAGAAAACATTGGTGTCTCTGAGTCAAAATTTAGCTATCTAGCTTAAGTAAGCGCCACCAAATTATTTAGACCGATTACATGAAAACCAGGCGGAGTAATAATTCTCACCATCCGTTCCAGCTATGCTATCAAGGTCTGAACATACCAGTTTGGGTTCTGGTGGTTTGGAGCACCCCTGCAGAAGCGGTGCAGCAGGCAGGAGAGCGGGTGAATGCAGCACCGGGTTTGGCCATGTGATGGCAGAAGAATGTTTTATGAGTTCCTCTTTTCATGTTTATCCTAATGTAAAGATGTTTCTGTGTCTAGTTCTGCATTCCAGGAAGCAGACATAGTAAGCTCTAAGGACAGTGGTCATGGAGACAGTGAGCAAGGAGACAGTGATCATGATGCCACTAATCGAGGTCAATCCTCTGGTAAGTCTGATAAGAGAATGGAAATAGTAGATCTTTGAGTAGGGCGACTAGAAAGAACAGTGCCTCGTAGGAATATAACACACGAGTGGCATAAGTAATGTGAGCACATTGTATGGGAGGTACGTATGGGGTTCATTCAGCTTGCTGCTACAGTTACCTGGGCAAGGAGACAAGTTTGAACCCCTTTCATTCACGGGCCAGAGTTGATCTTATTCATGGGGCGGGGAAGGGAGGTGGAGGTTGGTATGTTATTCTGCATCATTTACTGTAGCAAAACTTCCTGCACATTAAACCAAAGTCGTTGGTACATTTTATAGTGCCTTTTTTTTTTTTTTTCTTCCCCCCCAACGACAGATTTGCAGAATTTGGAAGCATTAGGCAGTTTTGTTTAGGAGGCACTTCAGCTGGCATGGCAGTGTGAAGTGCAGGGGGAGTTCCCAAGGGAAAGAATGAACCCAGGGATTGAATGACAGCCAGACTGTGAGGATTTTTCTGGGGATCAGCGGAGACACATTGGGTGCTCTGAATGTGTAATACGTGTTTTGAGGAGTGTTTTTAAATTCAAACTGAGGCACCATATAGTATAAGTGATCTCCATGTTAATAAGGCTAAGGTGTTCTTGACTACATTTCGTTCAGTCCTGACAAAGGAAAGAAAAGCTTTAAAAGGCTATGATTTGAATCACCCAGAAAATATGTACATTGCGGTGTTATTCCCATGCGTGCGGCTTGCTGTCTGTGCTCTCATACTGTCGGTTTTCCTCTGAAAGGGACATTTGTTTCGAGCCTATGCATTAGAATTCCTTCTCACCCTCGCACTGCATTTGAACCACAAATGCTTCTGCTTTCTTCCCTACCACAGCCTCCGAAGGTCTGGTATGTCTTGATTCAATACAGTGATTTCTTTCCCCTTGTTTCCTCTCTGCTTTATCACGTATAAGGATTTGCTACAAGTGTGTCATACAAAATAGTGCCAGAGCCTCTCCAGTTGTCCATTTCCCCCCCCCCGAGAAGATACCAGGGTGAGGGACTCAGTACTGTTGTAGCAGTGCTGCCTCACCCGTGTGCTCTGTTAACGTCCTCTATTTTCTTGCTGCTGGAGTCACTGTGCCCTTAACCATGGGAAACCCAGGCACCAGGGGAAGAGGAGGCTGCTACAGGGCCCCTTTATATTGCTGCAAGTCATTAATATGCAGACCTAATGAGACTCGAGAAGAGCCAAGAGTCTCCGGAGCTCCCCGCTTCTTGCAGGGCTTCATGCTAAGTGAACAGAGTGTCTATTTTGTGTCTGGGAACCTGACAACAAACCAGGTCTTGCCAGAAGTTTACATCTGAACACAGAGCCTCTTTCATTTTTGGCCTATATATGGCGTATGATTTATTGTTGTTTTAAAAAGCCATGTATTTAGCCTCCCCCCCGCCCTTTCTTTCGCACTGTTTCTGATGCAGCAATCAGTGCTACTGAGTTATAAAAAGCTCCCTCTCCTCCTGCCCTCCCTGCATTCCTCTTTCTTTTTTTTTTTTCTTTTACGCATTTTACTGCAGCAGTCATCTCAATGAACATTTCAATCAGCTTAGTCCCTCAACATAATGAACCATAATAACCAAACAGGAGAGAAAAGAATAAACATCTGCAGAAGGGGCTGGATTTGACTGATGGTGGGAATATAATCATATAGTTGCACATCAACTGAAAGCTATTTTCTTTTAGATGCATTCAGGGCTGTTGTTATTGTGCCTCTGCTCTTTATTCTTTCTCTCCATTTTAAAAGTAGTCTATCTCGGATAGGAACACTGGAACTACTGTCAAACTTGGCATTAGTCCTTAGCCGGGCAAATCCTTCATTTTCATAATTTCTATTTTTTGGGGAAAAAAATCTATTCTATACTTTCAAAATAATTTCAAATCATTTAAGGATCCGATGTGATGCATGAACTTCTGTGTCTTCAATGGTGATTACACATGAAGTAATGAAAGCTGACAATTAGATTTGGTCTGCTTGCAATTAACAGCTTGAACTGAAACCTCAAATACACAGAACTTCCAAATGAATATATTGGTGCTGTGATTTGAGAATAATTTGCATGCCCAATTTTTTAAGTGCTAGTTCCAAATTGATATTTAAATACAAATCTCTGTGGAAACTGCTTTAGTCTTCTACATACGTATAATAGAGTTTTCCTGTAAGTTTTGGGCTGAATCCTGCTGTCATGATGCAAGGAACGTGCCTCTTGACCTCAGCGATGACAGGGTATTTTGATATAAGAACTTCACTCTTGCTATTAGCATTTGCTGATGAATTTTGTGGGGGAAAAAAAAAAGGAGCATAAATCTTGTTTGATCTTCAATGGCTAGAGGAAATATCTGAGGGAATGCCTTCTCAGTTTTTCAGTCCTTCTGCTGCTCCATAATCAATTCTTTCTAAATTATTGAAGGAAAACACACATGGCAGAAGTTTGGGCTGTTTTTTTTCAAGATGTTACCTGATACTCTGCAGTGCCATATTTGTTTTCCAAAAGCATTGTATTTGCATACAACAATATTTCGCAGATAATTCACATTGACAAATCAAGCTCACTCCCTACCAGTTCTAGTCAGCAGCATATTCTGCTCGCAAAATACCTTTTTACTGTTCTGTACATTCTGTTACGGTCACCAGTGAACAGCCCTGTGGCACACAAGGAGCTATTCTATAGTAGTCCATTGCTAGCCAAGCTGACTGTCAGAAGTCACGGTCAAATATTAATTGGGAAGGAAAACATGCAGGATGAAAATCTATCAGTGTGCCTCAGATTTATCCTGCGCAAGTATTTAGTGAAAATTCTGAACTAAGCTGTTCTACTTATCATAAAAGGTTTCATTATGTTTTGAAATAAGATTCTGGTGTGCCTTCTCACAAAATGTATTTTCTTGATAGTGATTTAATCATGGTTTCAAATGTGCTGGAGTGTTTGTAAGGGATCCACATTGTTCCCCATTAAAGTACCACCTGAACACCTCGTAATTACCCACATTCTCATCTGCCTTAACATCCATGGAGTCCAAAAGTCCCGCCATCTGCATTTCGCGAGGCATGGCAGGTAGCGGGATAGTCAAGAGCCTGATTTTCATGGATTAAGTAGTCATTCCATTGACTGGGATAGGAACCTGAGCTTTTGGGAAAATGACTTTCCAAAGGTGAAGAAGCACAAGAAGTTTTTTGGCAAGCAGAGGAGGGGTTTCTCAAACCCTGAGTGTGCGTTCTAATTACTGGTGCTCTTCTTTGTCTGAAAATTGTTGAGACAAAAGCTGTTTGTTGTAGAACAAATGCAACTCATACAAACACTACTACTTATTATTAACACGCTGTATTTCAATAATGTTCTGTAGGAGTAATTTCTAAGCATGAGGTTAGTTTATTTCCCATGGTTGATTAAATTCTTGGCCTCCCTCGTGAAATTGCCGACTTGGGTGCCAATTAATACTCTGCGTGTGCGTATGTTTAAATTGTATGATTAGACACCTGTCCTGTCAGATCTGGACTGGTGCCATCAGCCTATTTCCTATGGTTGCTCACGAGCTACTCCGCTTTCTCAAGCCGAACACGCAGAGCTCTTCACAGTATTACCTTCGTTGCACCTTTTTCACCGAATTGGCATGATCTCTGGGGTGCACTTCAGGAGGGAATAGCCAAGATGTGGAGCTAAATAAATGTACTGTCATGTACGTACCATAAAATGCATCAGCTTTTTTGCTACTCTCCTCTGTGCAGTACTGGACAGTATGCATCGGTGACCAGCTGAGCCTAAAATTAGGCTTCCGCTAGTGGACTTCATGAAGGGAATTGATAGGGGGCTAATACAAAGGCACAGGGTGAAACATTGCCTCGCGCCTTTTTGGTACAGATTAGGTAAAACCCCAAGAGGGTTAGTATGCATTATTGCAGAAGAGCTCTGATATTTCAGTGCTCATAAGGAGAAGAATTTGAGAAGCCAGAAGAAGAATTTTAGTGATAAAGGGACAGAGAAAACCAGTATTCCTTCTGAGCCTATGCAGAGTGACAGTTAAATCCTGTTTTGAAGATCACTTGGGCTAAGAGTCTATCTCAGATAAAGTGAGAGTGAACATGAAAATGGCTTAGAAAAGTGCTTTGACTCAAGCTGAGGGCGGTTTCTTTTTCTTTTTCTTTTTTTTCCTCTTCTTTCCTTGGGCTGCATGCTTAATAATGTTCACATCTCAACGGTCCAGATAGGGCTTTGAAGTTGAGATTTGGGAGAGCCGAATATTGAAGATGTTTGAGTCTTTATTCATGTTCTCATGCAGATGAAGTCAGCTTTATCCAAGGCAGCACACCAATTACTTGGCAAGAAAGAATGATAATAACTGTTTCATGAAGTTCAGTAGATAAAGTCTTCTACGAAGGAGGTTAACATCATTATCCTTATTTACCGACACAAAACATAAATCATGGGGAAATGAATAACTTGCTCAAGGATAAGCTAACCAAATGGACAGTAGTTGTGGTAGTGGAGCTCTGAAAAGGTTCCCTGCATCAGGCCTATCTCGCATCTAACCAGCTTCTTAAAGAAAAGCTACCTCAGAAACGGAAAACGCTATTTAATTCCAAGTGAAAGCCAAAGTTATGAAAAAAAAATGACACGTGTTGGGGGGAAAAAAACCACCTCTCAATAACAATACTACAAAAATACTTTGTCACCATTTAATTTGTATTTTTGCTTTTTTATTACATCATTTACGCAGTAATACATATGAACGTGTTCACTCATTGCTCTAAAGGCTCGCTGTATGGCTCTTCTCCCTTAATTAAATTAAGAAAGAATACATTATTTAAAAATGGTTTTAGGCCTAATTTTTGCTTTGATCTAAACTGCCTTTCAAACCAATTGGAATTCATGCACATGGAAATTTTGTTTTTCTCCCTTTGAAATATGAAGAGGCAGCAAACTGGGAATATGCTTCAGAAATGCAACACTACCAAGTACCTGATTCAAAGCACCTGAGTTGAGGAAATTCAGATGCAGATATCAAATTTAATATTTAACTCCTTTCCTGGTGTTTTGGTTTCCTTGGAGGGAGGGGCGGGGGCTTGTTATCCTTCAAAATCTGCAAAGTTAAGGTCGTGTGAGAGCTCACATTGCCCACTGGCCTATCTAGTAACAAGGCTCGAACAAATAGGAATGAACTGGTGGCCTTTGCCACGAGCTGTTTTATGTAGGCTGCGTTTGGAATAGTGCAATGCTTATCATTTTTCAGCACTTCAGTGCACTATACTATCTACTTGTACCCACAAAGGACATTTGAAATTCATAATTCAGAGTCACCTTTAAAATCTCCGTTTATCTGCATGCAAGGTCTAATATGATAACTAAATGAAAAATATAAAGCATTTTTCTTTAATGTGGATTTGCAATTATGATGGATACTTTGGTTCTGAAGGATCATATATATAACCAGATTTATGAGGGAGACGAGATGGAAGTGTTACACAGCTGAACATTTCTTTTTGTTATAAATCAAGAACATGATTCTTGGTGTATGAAGGAGTTCTGTGCTGAATGTCTTACTTCGTTTACCCTGATATATCCTTCCTTCTTGGAAAATGGCAGATAGCCTTCCTCCCCTCCCCCTCAGTTTTTAATGTGTTTCAATTAGAAACAGAATATTCTGTATACCATGACCCACAGGAAAGAGGTGGAGGAAGAATAGCCAGCATTCGTATCATAGTCAGTGTAAATATACGTAGGTGCCCAGGGATTTCAAAGTCAGACAGCTAATTTGAATTGCTTTTCTGTCAAAATACTAAACCCAAGGGCTTGGTTCTGCACCCATTAAACTCTTGGGGAATGTTGTGATTGATGTGAGTAGGAACAACACCCAGCCCAGGCCTCTCTGAACATTTTGTTCCCATCCTAAACAAGCTTTTACATTCTAGCTGTGTGTTCCAGCACTGTATATTAAAATTCAGATGTATATGTACTTTTTTTTTTTTTTTCTTTCACGAATTCTCATCTTCAAGGGGGGAAAAGTTTGTCATACAAGCTTGCATTTTTATATCCCCTACATTCATTACTTTGTTTATTCAAAATCCTGATTTACAGTGGCTATAACATCTCTTTTATAATAAGCTGTTATATAATACTATTCAGTGCACTGCAGTAGACAAGCAGTATTCAAAAGGGAACTAAAAAATAATATTTGGATAGAGACATTTTGCAGTTTAGCAGCTGATGTGAAAACAAAATAGTGAAATGGAGAGTAATTTTCCAGGGGAAATAAAAATCCATGGAGGGGAAAAAAAAAAAAGGATCTATCTTTGAATATATATCTTCAAAACAGTATTATTGTAAAATCTCCCTCCCCACTGACTAAAGAATATAATTTAATATTTGTCCGTAAGTTTTTCTGTCTGCTGCTGTCTTTCAGGAAATGCTGAATGAATGTGGTCACTGATACCCTGTTAGCTAAATGTAACTGTAATCATATTCCTACTAAAAGCAGGGTTACTTGTTGTTTACGTGTAACTTTGCTAGTAAGTCTGAAAAATGAAATAAACATTTTGTGTTAATTGTCACTTAAATCTTCTGAATGGCAAAAAGTTAGATTCGTAAAATAGTCTTTTCTTGCATAGGAGAGATTTTTGTGCAGACGTTTCAGTACGTAGGATACACGCACGCAGGGTTTTATAGACATTGTTGTATATTAATTTCTTTCTGGGAAGCCTGCATCTAAACCTTTCTTTTCGGTCTTTGATAGCTACTACCAGTATGGAATTTAGATAGAATTTGTACGCCTTGCCTGATGATCTTCATCTGATTTCTTAATCATATCTGCAGTTCACGTTTGCATTCTTCAACAGTTCACTGATCAGTAATTTATTTTCAGACTTCTGTATGCCAATTATCAATGCAAGGTTCTAATCGAAACTGGACCTAGCATTGTATATTTAATTTAAAATTAAAAAGTCATTATAAAGTGTGATTAATCTGAGATAAAAAGCCTTTTTTCTGTCTTCGTATTTTTTCTAAGTGACTGCCTTTAGTACTGAAGCACTTGTTGATAGCTCAGAAAGATTCCTGCCTGCTGAAGAGATTGTTTTTTGCAGTGTGAGATATCACATAAATATTACTAACGTAAGGCAAATTATGGTTCAAAACAGTGGTAGAATTCTTAATACTAATCCTCACACTGGAGATCAAGCTAATCCAGTTCTTTACAATGTTGGCTGGTGAATGAGCTACATTACATGAATCTTATTACAGCTGTTCAAAATTTTTTCATATTTCTCTTGCAAGTAGTGTCATTTTTTTGTAATTCTAATGCAATGCTTGTAAAGGCAATGTTTATAACAGATTTAGTTCAGTTTTGACATACACCTATAAGACACTCACTTCTCTTTATAAATACAAGAAAAAAGATATTTCTTTCCTGTTCTGCTTTTCTGTACGATGTTGAACATCGACTTGGAGACGCTGGTATTTATTTTACTCTCTGCCTGTGATTTCATACACCATTCCTCTCAAAACAAGTATAATCCAACAACTTAGTGACTCACAGTCAGGAAATATTCTTTTGGAAGGCCGATCTGAAGGTAGTCAATAGAAGCATCGCTTGTCATTTGAAATCTTAATAGCATTAAAGGATTTGTAAGCAAACAGTTCCGTGTTGGCAGGGACAAGTGTTTGCTTATATAGGGGAAGCATTAACACTTTCGTCAATAGTATCCACTGCCATGTCATGCTGGACTACGACTACCATTGTACCGCTAATTACAGTAATTTATTATAGGATTCTGTCCCGTTACCTGGATGACTCGATGATAGTAAGGACTGCTGCCCTAGCAGTGAAAACTACCTCTGAAAGAATGATGTAACAATTGATTAAATAAGCCATCCCGATCACTTGCAAGCTGGATTCCCACTTTGTAAGATCTGCTTTTAGAATCAATAGGCTCTATCTGTATACTAAAGTACGCACAGATAGTTCCTTTTACAGGACTCATTAATATTTCATTTTCATAAATGAAATCCGTGATTCCTCAATCCGGCCATTTCATTTCTTCGATCAGAGATACATTTATGTAGAAACAATTCCTTCGTGTTCTTAAACAAGTATTTTCAACTGGTGAACCACAGACATCAACCTACAAGTGGAATGGAACTTTATTTGAATGGGTTCTAAACAGTGAGATCTGCAAGTGATTTTGTGAGGTAGATCCACCAATAACCTTCTTCTTGTGATATTTTTGTTTATGTGTGACATTCTGGCATTTAGTTATGCTTATTAAGTGGTGTCTTTGACTTCTGAAGACTGGACAAGCATCTTTTTTTTTTTTTTTTTGGTTGAGGAGATGAAGGTAGTGGAAGAAGTTCTTACACCATTTCTCTTTCCGCTTTTCTCTTTTCTCAGCATAATCTTTCTTATCTGTCAGCAGCTGTTGATGATGCTGAAGCTTATATCTGTAGTTTCTTTTTCTCTCATGCTTGCAGGCATGGATCTCTTCTCCAATTGCACGGAGGAATGTAAAGCACTGGGCCACTCAGATCGGTGCTGGATGCCTTCCTTTGTTCCATCTGATGGACGCCAAGCTGCAGATTACCGCAGCAATCTGCACGTACCTGGCATGGACTCCGTTCCAGACACTGAAGTGTTTGAAACACCAGAAGCCCAGCCGGGGGCAGAAAGGTCCTTCTCCACCTTCGGCAAAGAGAAGGCCCTTCACAACACTCTGGAGAGGAAGGAGTTGGACGGACTGCTGTCTAATACACGAGCGCCTTACAAACCACCATATTTGAGTAAGTACTATTCAAAAAGCTGTATGAAAGTGTTCCCTTTGCGGGAATAAAAATTAGCTCTCTCTGCTATTCATAGGAGAAATAATACAGGCACAATTTTAGGAGCAGTGGGGAAAAATGGCTTCTCTTGGATTCAGGCGCCACTGAAGAAGGCATTGTGCGATGCTTTTAAAAAAAGACAAAACCTTGATTGTTTTTAGTATGACATGACTGTCAACAACAAAAGTATCAGCTGATATTAGCGGGGGAGTTGCTCAATTCTTTTTTTCTGATGCTGGATTATTTTCAAAGTTTTCTTGGATAGATGGTTTAAACATTGACATTGCCAGGCGAACGTTTTTTAAGACTAAAATTAAGTGGAGAGAACTGTCGTAGTAGCTTCTTTTTATCATTGAGCAGAATCTTGTGAATAAAGGCGATGTCTGTTATTTTGCAGTAACTATTTACATAGTTAGCATTAAGGGTTTGGAAGGAAGAAGACAAAACTTTTTGCCTTTGGTCTGATCATCTTTCAGCCTACATAGTATTGACTTTTGTCAGTGCTCCTCCGTGCCTGCTGTCTTGTTCCAAAATCTTGCCTCTTTAGTCACCTTTTGACTATGGCTGGGTGGCATGAAAGAGGGTGATAGATCTCAAAAAGACCTTCCTAATTCCTTTTGGAGTCTGAGCCAGTTGTAGAACCCTTGAGTAATACTTTGATCTAATGTGTCTTTTCATTCCATTTAGCAGCCTTCTGTATTTTATTAGAGACTGTAATCTCCTCGACTTCAAGAGTTTATGATGTTTATCTCATCCAAATAAGCCGAAGACATTAACATTGCAATCCCAACCCTTTTAAAAGCAACAAAAGTCTTTTAGGACAACAGATCAGGGGTAAAAAAAAAAAAGAATCTTACTGAATGGTATTAATTTATTTATTTTTATAAAGCATTTAGTTGTTCTGAAAGGTGCTGCACTGGCAGTCCTGGTGTGTGAAGATCTTTGCTACAGATCATTCTCAGCACAGACAGCTCAGCTTTCCCTTCTTAATTAGCTGTCCAGGTATGTCAGTCCTTCACAGAAGTCTTTTTACAGCTTCACTCTTTAGATTTGCTTTACTTAAAGCTTCTAAATTTGAATAGCAGTTCTGACTTGTGAAAGCCATTCCTAAAAAACCTGTCCTGAAACAATCAGCTTATTTTGTGTAGGCTAAACTGTCAGGTGTCCGGCTATACTCTAAAGCCCAATGTGGAATTTCACTTAGCTATGACCTCACCATCATTCACCTCTACGAAACATTCCTGAGCCCCAAGCTGCAATCTAGCAGCACTAATTTCATCTCTATCACTTCAGTTGAAAATCTGGGGTTTGTAGCGCTGGTGGTCTAATCACAACAGCGTTCCCATGCAGTATGTGCACTACAGTGACGATTATATCTGGTGACACCACAGCGGTAGTTCTGTTCTGTTTTGTTCTAGGCCTGGGAGTTTTATTTCAAATAACAATGAAATATTTATTTCATTGATAGCTTAGGGATTTTAAATTTTACTCAGCTAACATAAGTAGTGTTGCTGAACAACGGGTTTACTCATAGACATTGGTCGACATTTTATGCTTTTCTGGTATAAAGGCATAAAAAATTGGAGGTAAAATGTCAGAAGGAAACAATATATATGAGTGGTATTACGAAATCCACACTTGAGAATCCAGATTTACTTTTGCTTTTTTTCTTTGAACCTCAAAGCTAAAACTGGTACAAAACAAGAGTAATATTTCTCTGTTTTATTTTTGCTTATTTAATATTTTCTTTAGTGAAGTTTTGGATTGTAGTTGTATAGCAAATAACAGGACAAAGAAAAGAAAGTGAGCACAATAGTTGTAGCAATGAGTAAATAATTCATTATTAATAAAGTATTCAATGAATAAGGCAAGAGGAATGCATAAGAGGAAGTTGACTCAGGAAGGAACTTTAGTTGAGCCACCGGGTAATTGCAATTGTATTAAAATCAGATTCAACTTCTTAACAAAGAAGATCGTATCAAAATCACTTTGTCAGTAGAGCGAATTTTTTAAAAGAAGTGATGAAAATGTATAAAACAGAACCCTCATATTCAGCAAAAACACTGTATAAAAAGTTGCAGCATGTATGAAAACGACCGCATGACAAATCTGTAGCAAAGAAGAAAAAGTATATCGCAGAATGCGAAAACTATTTGAACTAAAAAATTCTCTTAAAAAACGACAGATTCTTAAGCAAAATGATCAGAAAAGAGCATGGGTTCTAGCAGGTAAACTTTAGGGTAGTAATTAGTGGAGATAAGAGGGACTTCTCAGAGTAAATAGCCAAAGGCATGCAAATAAATACAGACAACTTTTACGATGTCACATGTAGTAAGCTAGGAGAGAATTGGTGGGTCTCTTGAGCTGAAGTTAGTGAGGACAAGGACCTTGCAGAGATTCTAAACTGCTTCTTTGCATTTGTATTTACCAGAGGAGGGATGGAGAAAGAAAGACAGCCACCCATCCCAAGTAACCGTTTCAAATAAATGTGCGAGACTGAGTCATGGAAGAGGACGTTATTGAAAAATTGACTAAAACAAATAGGAAGAAGTCAGCAGATTATGTGTTTCTTTAATTCTCAGTTTCTAACAAAAGCTAATAACTAAAGAATGTCAGAAGTTGTGTTTATCGTTAAAAATGGTACTAGAAAATCCAGAGACCAGTGAGAAACCTTAGCATAGGACATAAAATTATAACTCGGGAGTTTTAGGAACAAGGTAGCTGGCATCTGTCCAGGAAAATTGCACAGAAAGATTGTCGATCTGTTCGAATTTTGATAGAGTAGTTGAGAATTAATCAATACCGTGTATTTGAACTGTCAAAAAAACCCTGTAGCGTAGCTGCTGTGTAGTAGAAGCAGCGACTAAAGTAAGCAAGTGTTGTCACAGGGCAAAGCATTACGAGACTCTGTGCCTAAGCAAAAAAAATCATAAGGATAAATGGCACATTTTAGCAGAAGCAGAGCTCCCCAAGTGTCCATGCAGAGATCCATGGAGTTAAAAAAATGAATTGTCTAGAAACGGAAATGAGAAAAAGGTGGTGGTATTTGCAGATGACATAAAGTGGTTTGGGTCAATCGAGTCTCTACCAGACTACCTATGCCCACATTGTACACTGAAGCATGGTCCAGAAAACCCAGTCCACTTCTGACCCAGCTCGTTCTGGAACTGAAAGCTGGAGAGCAATGTCAGCACGGTGGGATAGCTGAGCAAAATTACTGGTGTAAGCCGTGCGCGTAACAGCTACGCATGTAAACTGGTGGCCCTACGTGGAGCTTGCACCGTGCCATATGTGTGCTCAAGTTTGTGTCTGCTTGGCGGTCCCTGCACTGTGTTCCGATGGGTACATTCAGTGCAGAACCTTAGGAAAGATAAATGAGGAAGATGATGTGTATTATCATGAGGAATTTGAACTCTTCTTGAGAAAAAAAGATCATGGAATAATTCCCTGAAAAGCGTCCCCCTAATGTACAAAGCCAGCAAGAAGGAAATAAAATGCCAGCTTGCAAAAAGGAATTGAACTGAAAATACCCTAAAAAAGTATTACAGAAACCTCACACAAAACATACCACTATGTTGCTTTAGCCAGTCTATTCGTTCCATGGAAATGCATAGCTTAACAGCAAAAATACTGAAAATATTTCTATGCAAAGTCATATCAAAAGCTTAGTACTAATTAATTTAGGCAAGCTGTGATGGGGACATGAAGTAAACAGGAGACTGCGTGAAAACAGAGAAGGTAAGCTGGGCCCTTTCGTTTGCCGTTCGCAATAACAAGAGAGCAGCAAGGCAGCGAAACAATTGAAGGACACGCAGGGCATGAACTGATAAGATCACACACATTTGATAGAATGATACACATTTGACACAAATAATAGAGTAATCTGTCAAACTTATGATTATGGGGTATGACTGAAACCAAAGGCGTAATAGCGGGGATTTGGGTGTTTGCTTTTTGGTTGGTTGAGGTTGAGGTCATTGCATGGATAAATGAAAACAGCAGCAGCTGTATTACAAATTCTAATGTAGAAAAAGATATAAATCGTTATACTTGAAAGAGTTTCTTTATGTCCCATTGTCAAATTTTCACCTTACTGGTCTAAGCCATCGGACTTATTCATACACCAATTTCCACATAAGCATACATATTCTGTCTATTATTCTGTGCAGAATACACCAAAAGTAGATCTTCTTGTACTCAAATAATATATTTTGAAGACGATATTTTTTACATAAGTTTTAAATATTCAGTATGAATACAAGTTATAAAATTGTGATGGGATCAATAAATCGTAGGGTTTTTTGAAAACAATTTTCTCATAGAGAGTAACTCCAGGATTCTTCTAACTTGCATATTCTTCTTACTGTGTGATTTACACTTATTTCTTCTTATTCATCCATGTGATTTGAACACTGCGAACAGTTAAGAAATTTTCATAATGACTTGAATGTTCATAAAACATGACTGGAGAAAATAAAATAAGTGAAATAACACTGGTGAGGAAAATAAAACGTAGCTTTTGAGCAATTCCTATATTTAAAAAATAGATTATAACCATTTCTACCTAATTTTTTATTCAGTTGTGCTTATATTAGCCATTATTTGTATAAGTATTTTTACTGTAGTGACTAAAAACCCCAATCCAAGTTTCAAAATCTGTTGTACCAGATTCTGTAGGATATCTAACAGACACCATCTTCCCAATGAATACCTGATCGGTCTGATTCTGCACTATTTCGAATACTTTGGACCAGGTCCTCAGATGGTAACAGTAGGAATAGCACCATTACATCCGTATCAGTAGTGTTTTGGTCTATAATTGATGATAAGAAGTAGCTATAATTTATTTTAATTTTTCTTCTGTAGTTGTGGATCATTCAAGATGTGCCTTTCTTTTATAATACTTTAGAGCTTTTCTAAAGTTATGTACTGACATTAGTGATAGAATATTTTTTTCTTCCTAGTAAGAGGTTAGAAATTTGTTATATATGAAAACAGTCAATTATTGCCC